TTCAGGAATCCTTTATTAAAATACTATCCAAGGACAGTGTTTCTCAAATTTCAGGTCTTCGCATGTCACCTTCATGATATTTTGGTCATATATTTTAATGCTTATATTTTTATTTATAATATTTTTTTTCCTTAAATTGACCCACTTATAAAAGCCTCATTTGCAGGAAGTTAGAGCTGTATAATGATGAGCTTGACGTGTTGCTTGATTTTTCTGATTGTGTTAGAATAATCAGAAAGTGCTTTTTAAAAAGCTTCTCCTCTCTGCCACCTAAGGTTGCGTGTGCATCAGAACTGGAGCCCCAGGCTGGGACACACTGGCCGGAGAGATGTGGGTCTATTGGCAGATGCTCCCTGTTCTCAGCTTCAACCTGAGAATGGTTGGCTTTTAGTTGTTAACTATTTAATTCATCCACGATTCCTCTTGGTCTTTACCTTCCCTGAACATTCTGGAGATTTGATGCCACAAAAGAAAAAAAAAAAAAGAAAAAAACCAACAACCCGTAAAAAACAGTAGAAATGGTATCTATTTAATTTGGGTGTAGAAATGGTATCTATTTAATTTGAGGAAAATGTAAACATTTAAGCACATAAAGAAAATAACAAGTACCAGTATAGCCACTTTGGAAAACAGTCTGGGGCTTCCTGAAAACATGAAACACGGGGTCACCCAATGACCCAATGTATCTACTTCTAGGTATTTACCCAGAGAAGGCAGAACTTATACCACACAGAAACCTGTGCATGGCGTTTCACGGCAGCATGACTCACAGGAGCCAAAAAATGGAAACAATCCAAATGCCCAACAACCGATTAATAATAAAACCTGGAATAGCCACACAAGCAAATAGGATTTGGCAATAAAAAGGAATAAGTTGAGCATATATGCTCCCACATGGATGAACCTCGAGCATTATGCCAAGCGAAAGAAGTCAGACACAAAAGGACATTTATGGCATAATCCTGTTTATGAGAAATGTCCAGAATAGGTAAATGCACAGAGACGGAGAGTGTTGCCTGCTGCTGGGCGGCTTGGGAGGAAATGGGGAGAGACTGGTCATGGGTACAGGGTTTCTTTTGGGGGTGATGAAAATGTTCTACTTTTTTTTTTTTGAGACAGAGTCTCGCTCTATCACCCAAGCTGGAGATCCTGGCTCACTGCAATTTCCATCTCCTGGGTTCAAGTGATTCTCATATCTCAGCCTCCCAAGTAGCGAGGACTACAGGTGCATGCCACCACGCCCAGCTGATTTTTGTATTTTTAGTAGAGATGGCATTTCACCATGTTGGCCAGGCTGGTCTCAAACTCCTGACCTCAGGAGATCTGCCTGCCTTGGCCACCCAAAGTGCTGGGATTCCAGGCATGAGTCATCACGCCCAGCCATAATATTCTAAAATTGATTGTGGTAAATTACATAGCTCTGCAAATAAATTAAAAATCACTGAATTGTATACTTTAGGTGGGTACATTATATAGTATTTGAATTGTATCTCAATAAAGCTATTATTTTGAAAAAAAGCAACAGTAATTCCTTCGTCCGGAGTAATCCATCATCCAAATGATATGTAAGAGTGGAAGCCCTTTCCCCACCCACATCCACACTCTCTTACGCAAGAGATGATACCAACCTAACGCAGTGAATTACATGACCTGCTTTGATCACGTGCTCTTGCCTGTTTCATAAACGTTTTCTAGAACTTCCTGTTAAGAAAAGCGAGGCCTCATGTGTTTTGCATTGCTTTGACACACTTCTTCTACGATACTGGTCTATTTATATTTTCTAATTCTTCCTGTACCAATCAAAGTTAGAATTTATTCCCCCAGGAAAGCATCTATTTCATTCAGATTATCAAATATATGTATATATTTGATATATATATATATATTTGATTCTCCCGCCTTAGCCTCCCAAGTATCTGGGACTGTAATCTAGCTACCACTATGCCTGGCTAATTTTTTGTATTTTTAGTAGAGATGGGGTTTCACCAAGTTGGTCAGGCTGGTCTTGAACTCCTGACCTCAGACACTTTTTACTTCAAAATGATAAAGCCACAAGCCTCCTGTCTGTTGGGTTGAGGAAAGTAGTCCTCTCAGACATTGGGATAATCCCCTTGTGATCCCAACTCTCCATCAGAAATCTCAAGCAGCTTCCCTATGTATTTTTTTCAGAAGTAAACCTTGATTAGTTTATGCCAAATTCGGTATTTCTATTCCTTTTTCCAGGGGCTAAATTAAGAGTGAGCACATGATATAATTCCAGAAAGATGACTGGGAGGCTTCTTGAAAAAAAAAATACTCGCGGCCTGGGCAACATGGTAAAACCCCACCTCTACAAAAATATGGGAAAAAAAATTAGCTGGGCATGGTGGTGCACACCTGTGGTCCCTGCTACTTGGGAGGCTGAGGAGGGAGGATCACTTGAGTCCAGGAGGTGAAGGCTACAGTGAGCAGAGATTGTACCACTGTACTCCAGGCTGGGTGACAGAGCAAGACACCATCTCAAAAAAAAAAAAAAAAATCACTCAAGGAAGTTCAGTTCATTATCTATTACTGTGTAACCATGTTGCCACAAACTTAACACCTTAAAATAACACCAGTTTTTGAATCTTACGGTTTCTGGGGGTCAGGAGTCCAGGGACAGTTTAGCTGGGTCCTCTGCTTCAGGGTCTCACAAAGATGGAATCCCAGGGTCAACCAGTACTGCAGTCTCATCGGAGGCTTGACTGGGGAAGGGTTCGCTTCCAGTCTGCAATGGCTGTGGGCTGCATTCAGTTCCTTGCAGGCTGCCAGACTGAGGGCCTCAGTGTCATGATGCCTGCTGAGCAGAAGCCACACCCAGCTGCCTGACATGTGGCTCTCTCCATGTGGCAGCTGACAACATGGAAGCCGCTTCACCAAAGCCAGCAAGGGAGAGAGGGTCTCCTGGTGACATGGATGTTACAGTTGTATGTAACATGAGCCCATGTGTGTCATCACATCAAGTCCATCGCTTTTGCCATATGCCATTGGTGAGAACCAAGTACCAGGTTCCACATCACACAAGGGATGGTGCCAAGAGCTGGGGGCTCATGAGGGCCACCCTAGAGGCTGTCCTCTATCGAAGTAATGGCTTCTCTCCCGAGTTGTGGCTACAGGTATCTTGTACTCAGAAGAAGACAAGGCAGAGGGCAAAAGCCTTTCTAGTGAAGATGGCAGAGTGGAAAGATGGGAAGAAGCCAAGCCTTTGATGATGTGACTGAACCACTCTATCTCTGGACTCATTACATGAGGTAATCCTTATGGCTTAAGCCATTTGGAATGGAGTTTTCTGTATCTTCAACCTAAAGCATTCTCTATCATACATGCTTTTGGTGGAGGTAATAAAATCATAAATAACTAATGAACTCAAGGTAGAATGTCCCCAGATGCAAAGAGGTAAATGGTGCCATCTGAGTCTGGACAAGGTGGAGTTTCCTTCCAGCTGGAGAGACAAATAGGCAAATCCAAGACTTGTACATTTACAAGACAACCGGCCTGGTCATCTTAAATAGCCAATGTCACTAAAAAAGTGCATTGGACTGCTCTGAATTTTTTAACACTAAAACATTTTTTAAAAGGCACCTAACAACCAAATGCAATGTGTGAAACTTGATTGAATCTTGGTTCAAAAAACTATTTCAGGAAGGAATGGGGAAATCTGAACGTGGACTAGATAATTAATATTAAGGAGCTAGTTTAAGTTTTCTTGGTTGAGACAGAGTATTATGGCTATGTGGGAGAACATCCTTATGTTTTAGAAGATATGTACTAAAGTATTTAGGACTAAGCCATTATGACTTCAACTTATTTTTGAATTGTTTAGCCAAAAACTATTTACACACACACACTAAAGCAAACATGGAAACACGTTCAGTGTCGATTGAGTCTAGATGGTGGCTACGGCTGACAGCTGTACTATTTTTTTCACCCTTTCTAACATTTTTTGTCATAGAAATCTGGACACAGACTGACCTCCGTGGGCTGGTAACTTGGTCTATAGATTCATTGCAATCCCTATTAAAATCCCAGCAAGTTACTTTCTGGACAGCAACAAACTGATTCTCGGGCAGGCACAGTGGCTCACACTTGTAATCCCAGCACCGTGGGAGGCCGAGGCAGGAGGATTACTTGAACTCGAGTTTGAGACCAGCGTGGGCAACATAGTGAGACCTTGTCTTTACTAAAAATAAAAAAATTAGCCAGGTGTGGTGGCATGCACCTGTAGTACCAGCTACTTGGGAGGTTGACGTGGGAGGATCTCTTGAGCCCAGGAGGCTGAGGTTGCAATGAGCTATGGTCATGACACTGCACTCCAGCTTGGGTGACAGAGCAAAACCCTCTCTCTTTAAAAATTAAGATAAAGGCTGGGCGTGGTGGTTCATGCCTATAATCCCAGCACTTCGGGAGGCCGAGGCGGGTGGATCACGAGGTCAAGAGATCGAGACCATCCTGGTCAACAAGGTGAAACCCCGTCTCTACTAAAAATACAAAAATTAGCTGGGCATGGTGGTGCTTGTCTGTAGTCCCAGTTACTCCGGAGGCTGAGGCAGGAGAATTGCTTGAACCCAGAAGGCCGAGGTTACGGTGAGCCAAGATTGTGCCATTGCACTCCAGCCTGGGTAACAACAGCAAAACTCTGTCTCAGAAAAAAAAGAAAAAGATGACGACCACCTACTTCATAGGGCTGCCTGGCACAGTTTTAGGCCCGCTAAATCACCGTATGCTTTTGTGTGGTAACTGACCTGAAGCCTCTGGTGTAAAATCAGTCAGGGAGCTGGTGTTCTTTCATTCATTTGTTTGTTTTCCAGGGTCACGCCAGCTCTCCAAAGATCTCTCAGCCAGGAGGACAGAAACAAATACCCATTTCACTGCATAGCCCCTGAACCTGATGGGGTGTGACCTGCTAGGCGGGGCTCAGCTCAGCTACCCCTCCTCTTTTCTCAGACAGCTTGCAGCAGGGCGGGGAAGATAAAACACATCAGTCTCTATAAGACTTAATTTATTCAATCGCATAAGATTATTCAAAGCCATAGGCATGATTACGTCTCTGTAGAATGAAGATTTTTTTGCGTGGAGAATATCTCATGGAGATTTGAAATATGTCGCCTCTCCTCAACAGCCAGGATTGACTCTGCCTAGGAGGACATTTCTGATAAGGGTCAGGCTCGCGTCCTTTCCTGCCTCCATGAGTTGTCACCTTCTGCTATGTCGGGGCGGGGGGTCACTTGCCTAAGATGCTGTAAGGAGCACCCCCAATGCCGGCTTCCCACCATAGCTGGCCCGCTGCAGGGCTCACCAGCCTTGCACATTTTGTCCTTTCCCCATGAAATCGTGGCTTTTCATGTAGGCCGAATGCTGTGACATCAATATGGAGTCACAAAAGCAGCTGGTCTGCTGCCTGTTGAAGCTGAGAGGCAGTGGTGGGGTTGGGTGAGTCAGAGGGGAGGGTGGGTTCCTGGGCGCTGCCCATGGGCCTCAGTCCTCCGCCTCCACTCACGCTGGCTCATGTGACCAGACGGGTTTTCTCTTCTGGAGGAAGGCCGTGATGCCCTCCTGCCCATCTCGCAGGGCCAAGTTGTCCACCATGGCCTGGGAGGTAAGGTAGTAAGCCATCCCCAGGTCCTGGGGCAGCTGCTTGTAGAAGGTGGCTTTGCCTAGGGACACCACCGGGCGGCTCAGTGACGCGATCTTCCTTGCGATCCGCATGGTCTCCTCCTGTAGCTGCGCCTCTGGCACCACTTTGCTGAGCAGCCCATGCAGCAGGGCCTCCTGGGCAGAAATGGGCTCCCCGGTAAAGAGCATCTCCAAGGCCACCTACGGGGAGACATGGGAGCTCACTGAGGTGCTCCTCTGTGACCCACCCCTGCCACCTGAGTCCTGCCTCAGCCCAATGACCTGCTTCCTCAAATCCACGTCATCCGCCAGCCCCAACTCCTGCCAGGGAGGAGACAGGGTCTTTCCAAGAGTGAAGAAACCGCACCAGCCCTGGGGGGCAGTGACTGTCCCATGTTCTCTTGCCCCTGCACAGATCTGGTCACTGAGCCCTGTCACAGCTGGGCATTTTGTCTACCTCTTCTGAGAGCCAAGCACAGGACGGCAGCCAAATCAGACGGGTGCCCCACAGATGCCCTTCCAGCACCTCTCAGAACCCACACCCGCCGGGGCGCTTCCACAAGAAGCACTTATGGGCAGCCACCTCGACCTGATTCAAAGGGCAGCCCCCAGTCTCCCAGAGAAGCAGGGATTTACAGACAATGCCTTCAGGGACCAGATGTAGAGCCCAGCATGGTTTTAACTTACCAATCGGCAAGGTGTGGCAAGGAGAGGATGCTGCCTCCCCTCCTCCAACCCACCCCTGAGGTTCCAAGGCCGGCGAAGAGCAGGGTGGGGTGGGGGCCCAGCGTCCTCTCTCTCTAACATCTGCACCAGTTTGAGCAGCAGGCTTTAACCATCTTTCCGGCTTGGAAATCCCACTCTGTTCTCATTAGCTGATTAGGAAATCAGAGTCTGCCTGCCTTAGGAAAATGACTGCTCTGGGAGGAAGAGCTTCTCATTTCCCACATGCTCTCCAGTGAGGCCGGCTGCTTGAGGCACTGGCTCTGGGTCTGAGCAAGGCCAGCTCTGCCTGGGAACAGAGCAGCTGCACCAGGCAGGGTGTTTTATAGGGTGCAGGGAAGATGCATTATTTAAATCACGCCCAAGGAAAGAAACTCTTTTCAAATGGGGAACATTATTCATGCCCAGGCTCAGCCTGGATTGAACACGCGGGCTTGATTCCATCGTTTCTGCCCCAATCTCCAGCACAGCCAAGCAGGTCCCTGTGGTGGCCAGCAGAGGGCACTGGTGACCCACATGTCATGTTAGCCAGCATAAGACAGGCACCAACTTCCTGTTCAGGCCAGTTTGCAAAGTACCTGCTAGCTTCCCTCTGGGTGCAGTAGGGACCCGCACCCACTGCCCCAAAATACTCGATGGGCCTGTGCCTGGATGTCTGTGGATGGGTTTACATGTGAGCACTTGGCAAAGGCAATGGGCAGCTGGTTTGGGTCAGGTTTATTCAATTGTTACGAATCCAGTGTTTTCTCCTAAAGCAGGCCCACACAATTAGATCTGCAAATCCAGAAACCTAGCAAAGGCCTGAAGTTACAAAAGACTTTTCCTCCTACAAAATTCCCTTTAACAGCACTGTGATTTCTGCTTTTCAGTGTTGACCCCAAGCCATGTTCCTGATTCATGGCTTCGAGCAGCCCAGCACTAATGAGCCCAGCAAGCAAGGTCTTGTTGACACAACTCCAAACTGCTTTCAGAAACCTGATTAGAAAACACTGGCGAGTCTCCAGGTGAGTGATTCAGAGGCCTTCTGGGGGTCAGAACATGAGAACAGAGACCAGGAACCTGAGTAGGGCCAGTTGGAGATTTTTTGCCCCATTTTCTGAGAAGGTCTGTCCTTGGGTTCATCTAACTGGGTGAGTATAAAACAGGGTTTCTGAAGACCGGGCTTCCTTGGAACTTAAGGCCTGTTTTTGTCATATTTCCCCCTCTTCTCAGAAACATTAATTTTTATCAATTTAAAACTTGATAAATATGGTCTAGCATTAAGTTTCTAGGAATCAAATCTAATAAGCCTTGATTTCAAAAGTTTGTTTAAGAGAGAATGGGTTCTTACCCTGACAGTGGGGCTGACTTCAAGGTTTCAAGTGCTTACTGCAGAATATTCCAGTACGTCAGGTGTTAAGGAGGACAAGCAGCTGCCAGCACCGGTGTCTTTTATGACAAAGGCCTTGTGATTTGATTTGCAATTATAAGACAGTTTACGAATAAACTCAGACAATCAGTTTGTAATACACAAAGTAGAGTCTTAAGAAATATTTACTAAATGGGCCAGGCGTGGTGGTTCACACCTGTAATCCCAGCACTTTGGAAGGCCGAGGCAGGTGGATCACTTGAGGTCAGGAGTTTGAGACCAGCCTGGCCAACATAGTGAAACCCCATCTCTACTAAAAATACAAAATTAGCCGGGCGTGGTGGCGCACGCCTCTAATCCCAGCTACTATAAAGGCTGAGGCAGGAGAACTGCCTGAACGTTGAAGTGAGCCGAGATTGCCCCACTATACTCCAGCCTGGGTGACTGAGCAAGGCTCTGTCTCAAAAAGAAAAAAAAGAGAAATATTTACTGAATGAGTTTAAGGTAAATGTCTATTTGACAGAGTCGAAAACATCCCCTTAGTCTAAAGACACTTTGGCCAGCTGACACCTACTGCAGTGCAGAGTCCACTTCCAGCCCAGTGTCCAAAGTGTGTGTGTTCACAGGTATCTGTCTTCAGGATTTCCCCACAAACACACATGTCTGCAAAAACCAACAAAGAGGCACTGCAGAAGAAAGGAACACCTCCCCAAGCTCCTTGGTCCTGCTACTGATTTCCCTTGGCTCTTACTTCTCTTGTCTTAGGCATGTGAGCAGCTCTAATTTTCAGAGTTGATGCTAAAATAGATAATATACTTTAGAAAGCAATTTCGCTCCTTGGTGTGGTCTAAGGCTGCCCCACTTTTTACAGATTTCCAACTGAGAACAAGGATGCACTTTTTCTGCAACAAGAACTGTTGGTTTACATGTAAGGGAGGTTTAGTAAATATGATTTTATGCTGTTATAGGAAGGAAGAAAGCTTTGTGACAGAAACAGACTTCACTGTCGCTAGCAAAACCACTTTGCAACACGACTCTTCTCGGGCAGATCCAACAAACCACGCATAGGAGATTCATGTTCCTGAAATGCAACTATTGTAAGCCCAACACATTCCAAAAGTCACCTACTCTAAATCCGTTCTGGAACAAGACAGATTGCTGACAGAGTGGCCAGCGATGCTACTATCCAGGCTCTTGATACTGGCATTTTGTCAGCACGCTATTCTATCTCACGGGCAACCATTCAGTGCAACAAAACTGAGTCTCAATTGTATTTCAAATAAGATCACAAAATACGTGCCTTTAGGAGGACAAACAAAACCAACTGGCAAACCTACCCAGTGGTACTGATGGTACACATGATGGAAATGCAGTGGTTTCACAAACTGACGCCCGGCGTCAGAAGCTACAGAGGAACAGGCAGGCGGTCGGCTCTTCCCTCCCTGCCGTTAGAGGGAACATCAGACCCATCTAGCTAGAGGCACTCTGGGCAGAATGTCCTGATATAAAAGGCACTTTTAACAAGAAGATCTTGAATCATTACATGCGTCGGAGGAGGAACTCCAGAGAAGACTAGGAGGCAGAGGTGGGTGGGGGAGTGACATTACCTTTCTAGGCACTGCTCTTGCCAAGGCGACCCCAGGGGTGGAACAGAAGAGCCCAATGTTCACCCCAGGAGTGGTAAAAGAGGACTTGTCGCTCGCCACAGCAATGTCGCAGCTGGCAACCAGTTGACAGCCAGCAGCCGTGGCCAGGCCGTTGACCATGGCAATGACAGGGACAGGGTGGTTCTGGATGAGCATCATGACCTGCGGGACAAACACACCCACTTCACTTCCACCCAGGGGAGGCACGACATTAACGCCTATCTTTTTGTTTTTTTTTTTTGTTTTTAGACAGAGTCTCACTCTGTTGCCCTTGATCGAGTGCAGTGGCGAAATCTTGGCTCACTGCAACCGTCTCCTCCCGGGTTCAAGTGTTCCTCCTGCCTCAGCCTCCTGAGTAGCTGGGACTACAGGCACGGGCCACCACGCCCAGCTAAATTTATTTTTGTATTTTTAGTAAAGATGAGGTTCTACTATGTTAGCTAGGCTGGTCTGGAACTCCTGACCGCAAGTCATCTACCCGCCCTGGCTTCCCAAACTGCTGGGATTACAGGCGTGAGCCACTGAGCTTGACCATTGCCTATCATTTTATATGACTCTCCGGTTTGCAGAGTACTTTTCACATGTGTGAGTTCAGCAGATTCTACGGAAAAAGGGCAAAAAAGGCACAGAAAGCACTAACTCCTATTACATATCTGCTCTGAATCAGGCTGTGTAATTTGGTCTTTCCGAGAATTCCACAGGGACAGAGAGCCCTTTTCTACAACAAGGACGTTAGCTTGGAGGGGGCTGCTGCAGGGTCTGTGGCCCCAAGTCCAGCACTTGAGTGGGGACAGGCCCCCACCTGCCTTCCTGGCAAACGTGCTGAAGGACAGTAGGGATTTATATCTCTGGGGAACAAAACAAACCCTTCACAAACAGGTCTGTTCTCACCGTGCCTATGCAAGGCTCTAGTGTTAAAAGTCTGAGGCTGGTATTTGGTGCTTCCTGGAAAAATTAAGGTGGAAAAGGGTCTTGAAGGCAGTTTTCTTAGTAATTACTTCTCAAATTACCACCATGAAGATTCTCTCAATTCTATTAAAATGGGGGCCAGGAGGACCCTGCTCTCATCAAAATAAACAAAATTCCTAAAATAGAGCCATTGGCACAGAGAGGAGAGACAAAAATGTGCCAAAGTGACCCCCCCAACCAATAAATTTCCAGAACTTATTTTTGCAGCTTATGTTTTCATAACTTAAATTTCTAAATTGCTGCTCTTTGAATGTTGGCAGGGAGAGAGAGAGGATGCGAATGAAATTTGGGTTACTTTCCCCAAGGCAGGTATTCAAATAAAAATGACCTTCCTTGATTTCAAGATTTTGTCTGAGAAACTTATCTTTCATAGCCATAAACATTTGATATTTGTTAGCTTTCTTCTAAAATAACCAATTATATATTTAAGGCTATGGTATCATATCATATAGTAGTGCTTTTTGACTTTTCCTGGCGGGGGGGTGTCTCCTTTTGAGAATCTGATAAATGCTAATGACATTTATCTTCCCTAGGGTAGAGGAGGAAATGCATCCTCCTCAGAAAAACGCAGGTGGGCAGATCACCCGAGGTCAGGAGTTTGAGACAGCCAGGCCAACATGATGAAACCCTGTCTCTCCTTAAAAAAAAAAATACAAAAATTAGCTGGGCATGGTGGCATGTACCTGTAACCCCAGCTACTTGGAAGGCTGAGGCAGGAGAACCGCTTGAACTTGGGAAGTGGAGGCTGCACTCCAGCCTGTGTGACAGAGCAAGATGATGTCTTAAAAAAAAAAAGAAGACGAAGAATGCACAGAGAAGTAAACACCTGTGCACAACATTGCTCATGGATTTAGGGGGTTCTAAGGCAGGCTGGGGATGAGCTAGTGAAAGCGCTCATTACCACTCCACTGGAATGAATAACAAGGGGAAGAACTCCCAAGAACTTCTAAAGTCTTGCTGCAAAGAAAGAAAAGATTTTGTTGGAGGGTGGGTGGCTTGGGGAGGGATATCAGGGGCTGGGGTGATAGGGGAGGGATACATTAGGAGAAATACTTAATGTAGATGACAGGGTGATGGATACAGCAAACCACCAAGGCGCATGTATACCTACGTAAGAAACCTGCATGTTCTGCACATGTACCCTGGAACTCAAAGTATAATAATAATAAGAAGAAAGATTACTATCTGGAATACACACACATACACACACACATATAAATAAGTAAATACATAAATAAAATATTTTCTTTTAGTTGTGAGTGTGGTTGCTCCACCCAGGGAACTGAAGTTACGGATGAAAAGCCAACTGACTAGGATTAGAGGTGAACAATCCACCCGTCCTGTCCACCATCATGTGAATGGCTAGGATTTCATAAAACTTTGCAGAAAAATAGGTAATACAGTATATATTCAGCTAAAAATGCATATAATAATAATTATTTTTTTGAAACAGAGACTTGCTCTGTCACCCAAGCTGGAGTGCAGTGGCATGATCTCGGCTCACTGCAACCTCTGCCTCCCGGCTTCAAGCGATTCTCTTGCCTCAGCCTCCCAAGTAGCTGGGATTACAAGTGTGTGCCACCACACCCGGATAATTTTTTTTGTATTTTTAGGAGAGACAGAGTTTCACCATGTTGACCAGGTTGGTCTGAAGTTCCTGACCTCAAGTGATCCACCCATCTTGGCCTCCCAAAGTGCTGGGATTACAGACGTGAGCCACCGTGCCAGCCTAAAAATGTGTACATTCACTTTTGATCTAGGAATTCTACTTCTGAGAGATAATCTGAAATAGGTATAAAGCTCTATGCCAAAGATGCTCACCAAATCATTATTCTATAATAATAAAGAACGATAAATACCATAAACATACGAGATAAATCAATGGCAATGAAAACTAAACGACATCCATCAACTAGAATGCTGTATTCTCACTAAAACAAACATTTCCAAGAGAAACACCAGCATGGCAGCCTGGAGCTTATGCAGCGGTCTGAAATCAGGCTGCCAGGGTTTGACGCCCAGTCTGTCACTCACTGTTTAATCCTGGACAAGTCATTTAACCCCTCAGTTTTCACATCTGTATAATGGGCATGATAATGGCACCAACCTTATAGAACATGACAGTTACATAAATTAACATATCTAAAGTACTTAAAATATTACCTGACATATAGTAAGCATTCAGTGCTATAATCATATAATTCTATACTGTAATCATATCTACATATTATCATTTAGAAAAACAGGGACACATGGAGAAATGATCTAAAAGAAAATACAGCAAAATATTAATTATAGTTCTCTCTGGGTGGTATGATTATGCTTTGACATCAGTAATCTTTTATTTTTCTAGACTTTCAAAACCATTTATAAGTACTTATTACTTTCATGATTAAGACTATTTTAGGCTGGGCATGGTGGCTCACACCTGTAATCCCAGCACTTTGGGAGGCTGAGCTGGGTGGATCATTTGAGGTCAGGAGTTCGAGACCAGCATGGCCAACATGGTGAAACCCCATCTCTACTAAAATAAATAAATAAATAAAGAAAAGAAAAGAAAAATTAGCTGGGTGTGGTGGCGCATGCCTGCCTGTAGTCCCAGCTACGAGGGAGGCTGAGGCAGGAGAATTTCTTGAACCCAGGCTGGAGTGCAGGGAGCCGAGATTGTACCACTGCACCCCAGCCTGGGCGACAGAGTGAGACCCTGTCTCAAGAAAAAAAAATATTTTAAATATAAAGTTAGAAAGAAGTTCAGAAAAGACAAGGGGAACTTAAATAATCAACAAGCTAGGATAATCAAACACTTGATAGTCAAGAACTGATTATATCTACTTGGCCTTCCTGAATTATGTACTGTTTTGGGTCTGCTGACTCGAAAATGTGACATAAACTGAACTCTGCCCTAACCACTTTTAACACCATCACTAAGGGTTTCATCTTATTTCCCAAAGCAAGAAACCTTGTCCCATTGTCATCTGATTGACAGGGTGTGAGAGGAAAGAGCAGAATCTTCTCCTGAAGTAGAGTTTCCATCTCCAGACTTCAGCAGGATATACATAGAGGGACCAGGAAGAAGTCTTTAACACGAGCGCCATGGAAGGTCACTTTCACCCTTCCGCAGTCAAGTTCTTCTCACCCTCATTCTACTCATTCTTCATTTGCCCTACTCCTGGTTTGTACGTCATTAACTATGATGCAGTACTTGTGGTCTGTAACAAATTGGTACAGTTTTTAGATGCTCAGCTAATTCAATTCAGATACCTCTATCTTCCTTTCTAAAATCACATTTTCTCATGAGTGAACTGAACAGTGAAGTATCTAGCTCATTCTGTTCCAACCTGCCTGTTGATTATACCTAGAAATAGAAATCTTGCACAAGTTCATGGTGCTCATCTTTATCCAAGACAATGAGATTTTCTTAGAAATGCTTTAAAGGAATCAATACGCCTTCAGTGCTGTTTTGCTACTTTAGGGCTAGGCCCTGTTTATGCACTGAGTCTTTTTCGGGGAGTCAGAGGCATCCAAGGGTTAGGGCCTTCCAAGAAGTCTGGGCCTTATCCTCTGAAGAAACCCTGGTTCCCTGGCTGCCCTGTTTAGATCTCCGTTCATGAAGTTACCAGAGCAGAGTGATTAAAAACAGATCCTCAGGGAGGATAAAGGGCTTTACTGGTTCTCTTTGACACTTTTCAACTTTAGCCAAATATACTGGGTATTGGTAGAAAAAACTTTTAAAGCACCAAGCCTTGGCAAATCCAAGAGTGGAATGTTACATAAACATCATTAATGTAGGAAGCAAAAGATCCGGGTCTTGGCTCTAACTTGCTCCCACTTCCCCATGAAGCTTCAAGTAAATTGCTTTTCCTGTTTGTCCTTCCACAGAGTGAGAAAACTATAACCTGATCTCTCTATGGGTTTCTGGAAGGCCGAGGAAAACAAATGGGGATGTCTTCATCATCTTCCCGTTCACTTTCCTGTTCCTCACTTCTGTCTTGTCTGCATAGTAGGTAACATTAAGTATCTGTGAAATCATTCATGACCAAATATGGGGCAGGGCACGGTGGCTCAAGCCTGTAATCCCAGCACTTTGGGAGGCGAAGGCGGGCGGATCACGAGGTCAAGAGATCGAGATTATCCTGGTCAACATGGTGAAACCCCGTCTCTACTAAAAAAAATACAAAAAATTAGCTGGGCATGGTGGCGCGTGCCTGTAATCCCAGCTATTCGGGAGGCTGAGGCAGGAGAATTGCCTGAACCCAGGAGGCGGAGGTTGTGGTGAGCCGAGATCGCGCCATTGCACTCCAGCCTGGGTAACAAGAGCGAAACTCCGTCTCAAAAAAAAAAAAAGACCAAAAACACGAATGTGTAAGTCAATAAATGAATAGAAAATTAGGTTAAACTATCTTAGAAGCATGTTATGAAACTCGTATATGTGTTGTTTCCCAAATTTTCACTTTTAGTTTGACAGAAAACAATTTTTTCTTGTTTCCCTCAATGCCTTGCAGGTATTATAATATGTGCTCAATAAATAGTCACTAGATGAACAATGTATTATTACGAGAAGCTGGATTCTCTATTCAATTTTGCGTCATTCAAGGGGTTGATTTCATGCATTTATCAATCATTCAAACTTTTTGTACCTCTTCCTCCTCTGTGGCTATTGGTATTTTTCCTCCTTAAGATGGTGAAAGAGGCAGAAAAGAAGCAAAAATGAAGTTAATTTTCCTAGTTGGAGGTGGTGATTATAAAGGTTGGTTGAAAGAAGCGTTTGAAAATAATTTTAAAAACCATAATTGTTATTCCTTGTATGAATGTTCTTTCTCATTTAATAGTTGTTTTAGTCTTAAAAATTTCAACTATGATAATCTTGGGTTATTCCTCTCTAAACACATACATGTTCACCTTTTTCCTCTTACTCCAGCCTTCTACACCAAGACACACTCCCACAATGCTAGACATGGCAACTATGAGTACCATCCTATATTCCACTTTCTTTGGTACAAAACAAAATCAATAGCAAATTACGGTCACTTCTTAAAAGTCTAAACTAGGCCATGCATGGTGGTTCACACCTGTAATCCCAGCACTTTGGGCGACAAGGAGGGAGGATGACCTGAGGTCAGGGGTTTGAGACCAGCCTGGCCAACACGGTGAAACCCCGTCTCTACTAAAAATACAAAAATTAGTCAGGCATGGAGTCCCAGCAACTGGAGAGGCTGAGGTAGGAAAATCGCCTGAACCCAGAGGGCGGAGGTTGCAGTGAGCTAAGATTGCACCACTGCACTCCAGCCTGGACAACAGAGGGAGACTCTTGTCTCCAAAAAAAAAAAAAGTCTACACCAAATAATTGCTTGGATGAAGGATCTGATGACCGAAGAGTTTCCAGTAAGCTCTGGGTGGTGGGTCTCATGAATAAAATCTTTCCCATAAGCTAGAAGGCGAACTCAACATTTAATATAATGATCATTTGCAAGTTTGCACTGTTGACTGTTGTCCTGGCTTACCTCGGCACAGGTCTGAAATACTTCGGTGTGGTAATCACGGCCTTGCTCCTCTGTCAGTTCCTTTAAATCATGCCCAGAAGAAAACACAGGCCCCTCAGCTGCAAATGTTTCCAATTGAGAAAAGAAGAGAAAACGATGTAAACAGCCAGAGTTGGGCAGTTAGTTCCCTTCCGTCTACTGAGTAACTTCTGCGACCTTTCCCTTAGGGCAAGTTAATGGCCTAATTTTGAGAAGAGTAATTCTAGTTTGCTTGAAAAGTTCCAGCCAGAATTTTGTGATGAAAGATGCAAGGTGAGGCATCCGTGTCCTAAAAGTCCTTGATGGAAAATGATGGAAATATATAATTACATAAGGAGAAGGTTCAGTTACCAAGGCGAAGGTATTTTATTCAGAGCTTTCATTTGGGGATTTCCCTCATGCCGAAGGCAGTATCCGTGTCATTTCCTCTACAAGTGGTGGCCAGCCATTGTGGCTGAACTGGGAAGGTGAGGGTGGGAAGAGATCTCGGAAGCCTTCTGGTCTTTATTTTACAGATGAGGGATCAGAGGATGTGCCTGCTCTCACTGCTGTCATCAACAACAAAACGTCATCCTACTGATGAGCTGGTACTTCCCTTTTGCTGTTGCTGTTTGAGACAGAGTCTTGCTCTGTTGCCCAGGCCGGAGAGCAGTGGCAAGATCTCAGCTCACTGCAACCTTCACCTCCCAGGTTCAAGCAATTCTTGTGCCTCAGCCTCCCGAGCAGCTGGGATTACAGGCATCTGCCACCACGCCTGTCTAATTTTGTATTTTTAGTAGAGATGGGGTTTTTGCCATGTTGGCCAGGCTGGTGTCCAACTCTTGGCCTGAAGTGGTCCGCCCACCTCGGCCTCCCAAAGTGCTGGGATTACAGGCATAAGCCACCATTCTTGGCCATTGTAGTTATCTTGACTGATAGGCAATATTATTGTCTTTTTACAGGTGAGGTAACTGTGTAGTTAAGAAGTTATAGTGAGACTCTGTCTCTGAAAAAGAAGACCTTAAAAGTTAGCCAGGCTCAGCGATGGCAGTGTTGCTTGAGGCTAGGAGTTCGAGGCCAGCCTGGGCAACAGAGCAAGAGCTCATCTCCACAAAAAAGATAAACTTAGCTGAGTGTAGTGGCACACATCTATGGTCCCAGCTACTCAGGAGACTGAGCTGGGAGATCACTTGAGCCCGGAAATTTGAGGCTGCGGTGAGCTATAATCACACGCCTGCACTCCGGCCTGGGCAACAGAGCAAGACGATGTGTCAAAAAAGAAGAAGAAGAAGAAGAAGTTACTGCCTTTGCTGTATCCAGGAAACAACCCACATGGTTGCTGGACTATACTGGTTCTAATTTCTTTTCTCTTCCCCATATAAAACAGTCGAACAGTTTTGATTAACTATGGATAAGATGGTAACATTCTGAATTTCTGCCTCTAAAAACACTGATGGTTAAGTTGCCAAACAAAGCATCACAAAGCATCATTGTCATATTTTTTTGTGCATGCTTTAAAATGCTAGTATTATGATTATTTATACCAGTCTCATCATCACAAGAAGATATAATTCTGTAAAAATTCTTTTTGGAACAAGCAGACAAATGAGCAGAATATGGCATCCTTTCCAGCACCATTAAGAAGACACTGCAGGTCTGAAAGCTTGGTAAGAACAGAAAAACCAGTCAACGCCCCAAAGAGTTAGTGGTTAAAACCATTTTATAAGAACCATGAAGAAATCAATTCTCTGATTTTTGAGGGGAAGACCAGCATTAGCCAAGTACAGAAATGTTTTAGTATCTGACAAAAAGGTAAACATTTTCACTGAACACCTTTGCTATAAATTCTGCAGTTACTAGTTAGGACTAACGCAGCAACCTCACAGGTGTTTTCCATAATTAATACTCTTGTAAAGGAGCTAGAAGAATTCTCCAGTTAAGTGAAGGGATGCCCCCAGTTAACCAGCCTCTCAAGAAAGCTGTTCGAGGTGCTGCAGAATACTAAGGACAGATATCAGACACATACCTGAGATGATAATGACTTTCAGATCATCGCTCTCAGCGTCATGAAGAATGTCACTTCGGAGAGACTTCAGCATTGCCAGTGACAATGCGTTCCTCTTCTCGGGATTGCTCAAGACGATGTTCCTGTGAAGAACGTTTTACAATCACCAGGTCATGCATGAGTCAAAACAAGTGAGAACCCCTGTGATTCCTGTCCAATCTAGGAGCTATTTTTAAACACAAGAAAAGAGAACCACTGGGGCTTAGTGCCAATTTAGAGGCTCTGTCAACTTTCTGGAGTTACAGCCAAGTCAAAACAAGAAAAAGGCGACCTGAAATACAGGCTGGCTTTCCTCCCTCTTCCCTTGATTAGTTTCTCTTTTTCTCCATGTTCGCTGTCAGAAACACGACTGCCACCTCCAGAGAGAGAGCGAAACACAGCGGTTCCAACATCAACACCGCCCAGAGAGGCTACAAGCTTAGCAGGACAGCAGAGAAATCTGACGAACCGGGGCTACCTTCCACGGCCTTCTCTCATTGTTCCTTAGAAAAAGGTTAGGAAGGAAGCCCAGAATGAAAATAACGCCCCAGAACTTGGCTCACTGCAACCTCCACCGCCCAGGTTCGAGCGATTCTCCTGCCTTAGCCTCCCCAGTAGCTGGGACTGTAGGCATGCGCCACCACGCCCAGCTAATTTTGTATTTTTAGTAAAGATGAGATTTCACCATGTTGGCTAGGCTGGTCTTGAACTCCTGACCTCAGGTAATCGTGCCTCAGTCTCCCAAAGTGTTGGGATTACAGGCATTAGTCACCGTGCCTGACCCAATTTTTTTTTTTTTGAGATGGAGTTTCACTCTTGTTACCCAGGCTGGAGTGCAATGGCACGATCTCAGCTCGCCGCAAACTCTGCCTCCTGGGTTCAGGCAATTCTCCTGCCTCAGCCTCCTGAGCAGCTGGGATTACAGGCACGCGCCACCATGCCCAGCTAATTTTTTGTATTTTTAGTAGAGACGGGGTTTCACCATGTTGACCAGGATAATCTCGATCTCTTGAACTCGTGATCCACCCGCCTCGGCCTCCCAAAGTGCTGGGATTACAGGCTTGAGCCACCGCGCCCGGCCTCCGTCTTTTTTTTATAGTGGCATTCTGTAAGTCTACAAAACAATTTGTGCTGTCTGAGAATGGGATGATCCATGAAGAATAAAAGTACAAGCCATACGACAAGAGGGCTCTTCCGGACATAACCTCTCACAAAAAGCTGGCATCCAAAGGGCTTCCTCGCTCTTCTAAGGCATCCCACATGCTGAATAAAATAACCTGTATTGTCATCTTGCTGCCTGTACCCAGAAACGTCTTATTTTTGGCTGTTAAAAGAAGTGGGCAAAGAGCCAAACACCAGATTGTTATTATATATTTTATATGTTTCCTATCAGTTTTCACCTACGTGTTTCCTGCCTTCCTCATTCTTTTTCGAATCTGATATTCCTCCCACGGCACAGCCAACTTGGATCCTCTGTATGTAGCATTCTAGGTCATGGTTTTCTGGAAAACAACTTTGATGACTGAATTTATTTCAATAATAAGCACTTTCTTTGGAATATCATTTCAAGGTTGCTGCAGTCTTCAGGTGCCTGTGCTATTCATCTTGTTTCTTATAAACATTGTTCTCTCCTAAGCACAAATCTGCTAGTGCTGATTTGTTGATAGACTTCAAAACTTCTATTTGGTGGGTGTGGTGGGAGAACTGCTTATAAACCTCTCAATCAAATAATGGGGGTGCTTCTTGTAGCAAATATGAAAAGCTGCCATCCCATCAGTGACATTTACTTAAACGAAACGGTAAAGTCTCAGGCAAAATTGTATAAAAAGATTCCAGCCCCCAAGGCCCTTGTGCGCTGCGGAATCTATTCACGTGTCCCGTTTGCTGTTTGGCTCCTCCATGAGCCACATGGAGTGTTCTAAAGCAGAGTTCACTCTCCAACCCAGAGGAACCAGGCTCAGCTCCTCCTGCTCAAGCCAAGCTCTTCCCATCAATCATCTCCTAATAATCTACTGGCCATCTCCATCACTCCCTCCTTCTGGAAACATTTCTTCTCTCCTGGTTTTTCTTGACTTCCTTCGTGGGCTACTAGCCCTCTGTTAACACTTGAATGCCAGCCATCCTGAGTTCTGTCCTCTGCACCCTTCCCAGGCAAGTTCACTGAGGCCTTGACATCAATGGCTGCTTCCGTGCTGAGCTCCAGGTCCATGCGTTCATCCCGATGCCTACTGGACTTCTCCATCTAAGTGTCCTTGGGCATCTCCTCCCATTCCCAACTTGCTCCTTTCCTCTCTTCCTTATCTCAGCACTGACAATCAGAAAAAAAGTCATTCTAAGTTTCTGCCCCTTCCCAATTCATCTGGCATCGAAGCCTGTGAATAATACCTCCAAAAAAATCTCAGCACTGAACCCTCCCCATGGCCACTTTGGTTCAAAACATGTGAGGCCTTGCACCGAGAGCTTCACCAATATCACCTATCTGGAGAGGAAACCTCTTTAAGAATGAGGTCATAGGCTGAGTGCAGTGGCTCACGCCTGTAATCCCAGCACTTTGGAAGGCTGAGGCAGGCGGATCACAAGGTCAGGAGATTGAGATCATCCTGGCCAACATGGTGAAACCCCATGGCAACTAAAAGACAAAAAGTTAGCCGAGCGTGGTGGCTCATGCCTGTAGTCCCAGCTACCTGGAAGGCTGAGGCAGGGGAAGCACTTGAACCCAGGAGGCAGAAGTTGCAGTGAGCCGAGATTGTGCCACTGTGCTCCAGACTGACAACAGAGCAAGACTTGGTCTCTGAAAAAAAAAAAAAAAAAAAAAAAAAAATGAGGTCACCAAGACCTCAAAAAAGAATGAGGGCATAAGTGTCAAGGTAACAGATGGTCCCTATAAATGCCCCCATGAGCTGTCTGAAGATCACTGTTGTAAACCACGAGAAGGTCCCTGAGGCGAGGGACTGTCATGTTCTCATCCAGAGGACACGCAATACCTGTTGACCTCAAGACAAAAAACAGCATTTCCGTTTTTCACAGCCACTTCCACCCACTGCAGTGGGATGACATCGCCTCGTTCTTTCACCGTCTCTTTTCAACCCGAGTGGTGAGTAGCAAAGGAGTAGACACCACTTGGGGGCAGAGGGACCTCTCTGAACCCTGGTGATCCAACCTACTGGCCATGTGGCCCTGAACAGGCTGTCACCTCTCTGAACTTGCTTCCTCACTAAAGTGGGCATACAATTGTCCACCTTGCAAGCCATTCTAAGAATTAGGGATCATGGACACAGAGAGCCCAGCACAGAGCAAGCCCTGGGTACATGACGGCAGCTCTGCTGGGAGGAGGAGCATGGAAAAGGGACACTTGAAGAGTGACGGGTCACTCAAGTTCTTGCTCAAGTTCACCTGCTTTGCAGTGCTGCTTTAATGCTCCGTTAAAAATTTTCCTTTCCCACTAAACAACCCCTAGTGGCCGGGCGCTGTGGCTCACGCCTGTAATCCCACCACTTTGGGAGGCTGAGGCGGGTGGATCACGAGGTCAAGAGATCGAGACCATGCTGGTCAACATAGTGAAACCCCATCTCTACTAAAAATACAAAAAAATTAGCTGGGCATGGTGGCACATGCCTGTAATCCCAGCTACTCAGGAGGCTGAGGCAGGAGAACTGCCTGAACCCAGGAGGCGGAGGTTGCGGTGAGCTGAGATGGCGCCATTGCACTCCAGCCTGGGTAACAAGAGCGAAACTCCGTCTTAAAAAAACAAAAAACAAAAACCCTAGCATTCATGCGAGTGTGTTTTCCCTGCCGATTCACGTTTAACTCTGGAGAACTCCACTGGCCTCCTTTTTGTCATCTGGCCACCATGCCCAGAACTCAGGCTTCCAACCAGCTGTGACCAGATTTACAGAAGCAGAATGGGCAAGAAAGGCCTCGCATGGGCCCTGCTCTGGCCTCCTGTGCTCCTGTAGACGATGAGCAAGGGGTCCACAGGGAAGGGAACCATCCCCTTTCCAAACCCTGGGCCATTACCAACTCCCTGGAATTCCCTGCCCATGCCATGGGCACCCCAAGCTCAAAGGTGGCCAAGAGCATTTGTCTGTAGGGCACGAGGAGACAGACAGTAAGGCATACTGGAAGGGTGTCTGCAGATCTGTGCACCCAGACCCTTGCAGAGCAGCAGAAAGGACAGGTGCAGAGGTGGGAAAGGGTCAGAGGAGGGTGGGGAGAAAAGGAACACGCTGAAAGTGGGGCTGGCTCTCCACCCCTGCTGGGAACCACCCGGTTGTGTGAGGATTAGCAGTTCACACGTGGCCTTCTAGGTCTTTCTGGGAAGGTTTATGTCTCAGGGTAGGAGAAGGCGTTTTATTTAACAGCTTGATTTAGAACTGAAACATGCTGTGCAGGCCTCCCTTTGCACCCCTGCCCGGGCCAGGCATGCACCAGCCTCAGGCCGGGATGGGGCAGGGCCCTCCACCTTCATGACTCTATCGACCAGTTTTCAGTTTGCACAACAGCACATTTTTAAGGGTTTTGGGCCTGTAGCCATAAGGGCAGAGATCAGGACACTGTGTCCTTCGTCCTATTTACTGTCCCGCCCCCAGGACTGCACCTCTGGGTGAAGGCTAAGGAGCAGCTCACCGGAGCCCACGCACCCCTTGAGCCAGGTTTGGGGCCCAGAGCCCTCCTCCTCTCCAGGCCTCTCCTTAGGCCCAGCGGCTGGACGCCCGGTGACCCCGCGGGCGGTCCTGAGGGCTTCGGGACCCCGGGCAGTCCTGCAGACCTTCCTACAACCCCCCCCGCGCGTCTCGCTGCCTGGCCCAGGGACGTAAACAGGGCTCCGACTCTCCGTGTCCTGCCGGGTCAATGGCGGCGCCCCGGCCCCTGCCCCGACCCCGGCCCGGCCCGGCCCCACCTCGAGAAGCCCTGCGCGGCCCGGGACTGACCTGATCCCGTCCTGCTGCCGCGCGCTGGTGGGCCGCGGGTCTGACTCCCGCCGCCCTGCCCCGGCCAGGTCCCCGCTGCAGTAGTGGGCTGGGAGCTGGGCCCAGAGGCCGCGCCGGAGCCACAAGGGCCCCTTCGCCCAGAAGGCCCGTAAGACGGCGACCATGGCATCCAGGAATGCCTGAGGGGGCCGGACGCCGCAGGATCGCGCTGCCTGGACCGGCCGCAGGCGCTAGGCGCTCCCAGGGCGCTGCTGTGAGCCGGGACTGAATTTGACGGTGGCCGATACACGGACAGAGCAGCCTAACAGGCCCAGGCTTCGCGGGGACACTCCGGGCCAGGCCCCGCCCCCACCATGCCCCGCCCTCACGATGCCCCACCCTCACGACGCCACGCCACCATGACGCCCCGCCCTCACGACGCCCCTCAATCATGACGCCCCGCCCTCACCATGCCCCGCCCTCACGACGCCCCACCCTCACGACGCCCCGCCCTCACGACGCCCCGCCCTCACGACGCCCCGCCCTCACGACGCCCCGCAATCACGACGCCCCGCAATCACGACGCCCCGCCCTCACGACGCCCCTCAATAATGACGCCCCGCCCTCACGACGCCCCGCAATCACGACGCCCCGCCCTCACGACGCCCCGCAATCACGACGCCCCGCCCTCACGACGCCCCTCAATCACGACGCCCCGCCCTCACGACGCCCCGCAATCACGACGCCCCGCCCTCACGACGCCCCTCAATCACGACGCCCCGCCCTCACGACGCCCCTCAATCATGACGCCCCGCCCTCACGACGCCCCGCAATCACGACGCCCCGCAATCATGACGCCCCGCCCTCACGACGCCCCTCAATCACGACGCCCCGCCCTCACGACGCCACGCCACCATGACGCCCCGCCCTCACGACGCCCCGCAATCACGACGCCCCGCCCTCACGACGCCCCGCAATCACGACGCCCCGCCCTCACGACGCCCCTCAATCACGACGCCCCGCCCTCACGACGCCCCTCAATCACGACGCCCCGCCCTCACGACGCCCCGCAATCACGACGCCCCGCCCTCACGACGCCCCTCAATCACGACGCCCCGCCCTCACGACGCCCCTCAATCACGACGCCCCGCCCTCACGACGCCCCTCAATCACGACGCCCCGCCCTCACGACGCCCCTCAATCATGACGCCCCGCCCTCACGACGCCCCGCAATCATGACGCCACGCCCTCACGACGCCCCGCAATTATGACGCCCCGCCCTCAAGACGCCCCGCAATCATGACGCCCCGCCCTCACGACGACCCGCAATCACGACGCCCCGCCCTCACGACGCCCCTCAATCACGACGCCCCGCCCTCACGACGCCCCTCAATCATGACGCCCCGCCCTCACGACGCCCCTCAATCATGACGCCACGCCCTCACGACGCCCCGCAATTATGACGCCCCGCCCTCAAGACGCCCCACCCTCACGAGGCCCCGCCCTCACGACGCCCCTCAATCACGACGCCCCGCCCTCACGACGCCCCGCCCTCACGACGCCCCTCAATCATGACGCCCCGCCCTCACGACGCCCCTCAATCATGACGCCCCGCCCTCACGACGCCCCTCAATCATGACGCCCCGGCCTCACGACGCCCCGCAATCACGACGCCCCGCCCTCATGACGCCCCGCAATGATGACGCCCCGCCCTCACAACGCCCCACTCTCACGACGCTCCGCCCTCACGACGCCCCGCCCTCACGACGCCCCGCCCTCACGACGCCCCACTCTCACGACGCCCCGCCCTCAAGACGCCCCGCAATCATGACGCCCCGCCCTCACGACGCCCCGCCCTCACGACGCCCCGCCCTCACGACGCCCCACTCTCACGACGCCCCGCCCTCAAGACGCCCCGCAATCATGACGCCCCGCCCTCACGACGCCCCGCCCTCACGACGCCCCGCTCTCACGACGCCCCGCCCTCACGACGCCCCGCCCTCAAGACGCCCCGCAATCATGACGCCCCGCCCTCACGACGCCCCGCCCTCACGACGCCCCGCCGGCTCCTGGGGTTGTTTGGCAAGGCCTGTGGGAAAGTTTAAGCGTGGGGAAGAGTGGGATGATTTCTTCTTCAGCAACACCAGGAATGTGCGGTTTGCCTGCATTAGGAAAACCGGCGTCAGGGGTGCGGGGCGCTGCACTGTTAGCAACCGCTTCCCCACCGGCCCGGGAGAAGCCGGGCTTTTTAGTGCCTTGTGCGCTCTGCTCCAGACGCGGGGGCTGCACACTTCGTTCCTGCCACCAGGTAGCTGGAAATGGAAAGTGAGTTCATACACAAAATGAAGTTACGTTTCTAGAGCAGCCGAGCCAAGTGCCACCGACGAGGCCGACCGAAGTGACCGCCCTCAGGGCCTCGGGTCGCTGCAGGTCTCTCGCTGGCTGGGAGGAGGTGAGGCGGCCTCGGCCCTCAGGGGAGCTGCCGCGAGAGGGAGCCGGAGTCGGGATTTGGGGAAGACGAAGGAGCGACGAGAGCACCCCGAGCCTGGACCGCGCAGAGGACACGGAGAGGCGGCCGGCTGGGCGCGGCGGCTCACACCTGTAGTCCCAGCACTTTGGGAGGCTGAGGCGGATCACATGAGGTCAGCAGTTCGAGACCCGCCCGGCCAAGATGTGAAACCCCATCTCTACTAAAAATATAAAAAATGAGTCGGGCGTGGTGGCGCGTGCCTGTTGTCTCAGCTGCTCAAGGAGGCTCAGGTTACAGTGAGCCAAGACCACCCCACTGCACTGCAGCCTGGGCTACAGAGCGAGAGACCCTGTCTCAAAAAAAAAAAAAAAAAAAAGGCCCAGAGGCCATTTCCACCTGCGTCTACATTTGATTTGAACAGAACAGGTCACTCTGTGGATCCCCACTCTGCTAGTGCCTGTACCTCTGCCGTCTCTCTCAACGTTTGGGGCAGTCCAGGCAGGTATCATTATCCCGGTTCCCACTGGTTTCACCAACCCTGTTGGCACGAGGCGCGGCAGTTACAGAGTCAGGACGAGGCTGGAGGTTACATGACGGAGGGTCCCCTCTCATCTGACGTCTTAGCCCCGCTTTCCCATTCCTTTCATGTCTGGCTCCTCCCTGGATTTCTTTCAGAGCCTGCGGCCGCAGTTTGAGCGTAGTGAGCAGAGAGGGCCAGGCAGGTGCACCGCCACAGCGTTACCCAAGCAGAAATCGACAGAACTTAGGGAATCTTGAGTCTTCCTCAAGCAGTGCAGGACTCTTTTTCAAATTCAGGCTGCTTCTCCTGGGCTCCCTGCTTCTCATTAACTTTTGCAGGGACTGCCTGTCCATCTTCTGTCTTGTTCAGTGCCCTTCTAATCTATTTTCCACGCGGGCCTTCTCCCTGACACAGTTTGATTTCCAGGTCGCCAGCAGGCTTCTCTCTGGCTTTGATTTCTGCACTTCTTTCCTGTGCCACATGTCTTTGCCACACGGAGGTGTCTTTGCTACCTTTTCACATTTCCTTTAAAGACCCCGCAGATGCTTGACAGAACGATGCAGAAATAATGCAGGATGAAAACACGGTTCTGGGGAGGCTGCTGTCTCAGGCTTGATGTAGGAATGAGGGAAGACTTAGACCTCCTCCCTCAGGGTACAGGGAAAGGGAAGTACAGGTTTTCAGCTTCTTAAGGTGTGGTTTTTGAACTTTTTAAAATTTTTGACTTCAGGTCCTTCTAGGGTAGACATGTAATGACATGGTTCAGAGGTGCAATGGGGAAGATGGCACGGCTTACTTTCAGTGAGAGCCCTCAGGCATGTAACAGATGATCAAATTCCAGCTTCCCACCCTCATCCTCCACCCCACCTCTCTCCCCCTGGCCCTGCAAAGCCAAAGGAGGATCAAGCACCCGTAAACCAGAAAGGTTTCAGAATTTCACTGATCCACACAGCGGGAGATACTTGGCCATGTCCCGGTTTTATGATTCTGTATTTTATTAATAATCTACCAGTCATTACCCACGTTTCTTTTGCAAACTTAAATGTCTTCACAAGAACCCATATCTCTAGTTGGGTGAAAATTAGTTTAGAAGCTAAGCGGAGGCCAGGCGCGGTGGCTCATGCCTGTAATCCCAGCACTTTGGGAGGCCAAGGCAGGCAGATCACTTGAGGTCAGGAGTTCGAGACCAGCCTGACCAACATGGTGAAACCCTGTCTCTACTAAAAGTACAAAAATTAGCTGGGCATGGTGACGCGTACCTATAATCCCAGCTGTTTGAGAGGCTGAGGCAGGAGAATTGCTTGAACTCTGGAGGCGGAGGTTGCAGTCAGCCAATGTCATGCCACTGCACTCCAGCCTGGGTGACAGAGTGAGACTCCATCTCAGAAAAAAAAAAAAAAAAAGCTAAGTGGAGGTGCGGGGGTGAAATGAACTTTCTTTGCTCCCCACTTAGCTTGGATATTTGAGTTTGCTTATATGCCTTAAACAAAGCAGATTCAGTAACTTCAGGTAAACGATCTGAAAGAGCTCCGTAAACTGAGGAAGAGGTATGGATTTCATGGTGTCCTGGCTACAGATGATACTTTAAATGAGCTTGAAAAGTTAGAGGATCATGATCATGACAGTGATAGAGACCATCTGGAGGGCAAGAAGTCGCCTGGCAGAGGAATGTTTGATGTTGGATTCATCGGCTGCTGTGAAAGAACAGCTGGGGGGCAGCTGCAGAGCTCAGGCCTCTGATCACCAGTCAGGGTCCCTCGGTGAGGACAGACCAGGAGACCAAGGATCAAGCCAAGTCCCAAAGCCACTTACTTCTATCTTCTATACCTCCTGCCTCTCTCTGCATCTGATATGGTTTGCCTCCATGTCTCCACCCAAATCTCATCTTGAATGGTAGCTCCCATAATTCCTGTGTGTTGTGGGAGAGACCCAGGAGGAGATAATTGAATCACGGGGGGCAGTTCTCTCATACTGTTCTTGTGGTAGTGAGGAAGCCTCAGGAGATCTGACAGTTTTATAAGGGGGAAACCCCTTTCACTTGGCTCTCATTCTCTCGTCTGCCACCATGTAAGACATGCCTTTCACCTTCTGCCATGATTGGGAGGCCTCCCCAGTCACATGGAACTATGAGTTCATTAAACTTCTTTTTATTAATAAATTACCCATTCTTGGGTATGTCTTCATTAGCAGCAAGAAAACGGATTAATACAGCACCTTGGATACATGCTCCACATCTCACAATAATTTTAATCCTGCAACACAAAGAGAAGGTTCAGTTACATTTTGATAATTCAGGAAGAGGTCACACATGGTGGCTCACACCTGTAATCCCAGTGCTCTCCTCCTCAACTCAATCTTTCTTGCTCCTGCTTCTGCCAGGTGACATGCCTACT